TCTTCTCTCCAAGAAAAGCTTAGCTAGGTCTCACCATCCCTTGCAAGTCCAAGGCTGATGTTGCATGATGGACCTAGAGTTTGGTCTTCACACCGGACCTTTTCAGCCCTCACTCTCACCTTCCACCCGCTCTGGGTCTAGTTCGACCTTGTTATGAGCTGCTTCAACACATTACGAGAAGGACTACATCTCTGCTGTCTTAGTGTGCTGAAACGGTTCTGTATAGAAGCAGGCAGACCCAGTGCCAGCTCCAGGCACAGGACAGAGAGGCCATTGCAGGCCCTGGTGGAACTGACTCAGCCTGTTGGTGCAGCTCAGCCTGAAATCTCCTCTCCTTCACCCTTCACTTTTCTCTTACTCATTTTGCAAAGGGTGATTGAGTTTTACTTTTCACCAAATTTGCTTGCTTTTTAAATTGAGCCTGTGTGCCTTTGGTTATACGATTGGGCTTAAACTAGTGTAGCATTAGTACCTCATGGGGCTAGTAAAGCAGCTGAGAGGCCACCGAAGTGGACAGGCCACTTGTGACAACTTCTCAGTGGCAGTCACTCATCCATTGTCATGCCTTTCCCCAGTGTCCCACAAGCGCCCAGGACTTGCTTGTACTGAACTGCATTAACATGGAAATTACATCGCTTTAAGATTGCAAATCAATGTCACAATTATCTTTCTTTTCATGTGCATATGTTAATGTTGAATTGAAACCTGGAAAATATTTTTTAATTTCTAGAGATAGAAAGGTAAACTGGAAAACGCTGAAGACTAATCTTGGTGAAGGAGAGACAAGTGAATCTGATTGATTTCTGACAATTACTTTCCTATTTTTTTTTTTTTAAAGTCTCTCACTAAATAATCTGCCCAAGTACTTAATTATACTATTAAGTTTTTTCCTGGTACGTAATTCTCCTTTGATAAACTGATTCCATTGTTTCTTTTCCTGTATTTCTTGTTCTTTTCCGAGTAGATATGTAGGATAATTTATGACCTTCCTTCATGCAGCAACATTTTACATCTTCGCAGACTGTTATCATGTCCTGCTCCAGTCTTCCCTCCTGTGGACTAAGTTCTTCCAGCATCTCCTCAGAGGTAATTCTTCTGCATCTTTCTGGGATTCTGGTATTCCTTCAAAGGAGAAAAATTAGCAGGTCTGACATTATTTGCCCTTGAAAAGTCGTCACCCTCTATTGAAAAATTTTTTTGTTACAAAAAGAAAACAAATTCCTAAAAGGCACAGATAGTAAAGACTCTTCTTAGTTTGTATAGCAGAAATAGGAGAGGAACCTTAAACACAGAAGATCACATATGATTTTATGGATGGAATAATAAAGTAGCATCATAATGAATTAAGGCATTAATTTGGAGTATGTTTAGGCAAGGCCTAAAGATGTTTTAGCCTCAGCTGTCCCTACAAATTGTTTATGAAATGAGGCTGGGCTGCTACTGAACACTTCAAGAAGTGAGGATCTGATAATGATCCAGTGGCTTCCTGTGTCAAATGTGTAAATGTACATCTCAGTCAACAGAATATGTTACTCAGAGCATGTTTTGGGGTATATCACCTTACAGAGTCCCAAAGGGAATACATAAATTAGATAGTCCTAACAGATAAAGAGAATTTTCTGGTATGAAACATGTTTCCTCCACTGCTCTTCAAGCTGAGATCACAGATATTTGTTAATTGCACCTGCCAAATCTCAGAGTTAGATGAAAGATAAGAAGATTGTCAGGATTTTTACTTTAGTAAAATGCTTTCTTGAATTGAGCAATAGTGTTACATTTATATCTTAATCTTGCTGTGCAAGCATACAATGTATAATGAATGTAATATCTTTCTGGTAACTGCTAAAAAATAAGACCATTAGCAAATTAGATATTAAAGGAACATCTCTTCATATCAGTCAAAATTCCATGTTATTTCTCATGATCATTTTATTGAATTAAGTGATCCGCAGTTTTCCCCTCTTAAACCAAATTAAATTTATTGTTAAATCTGATTTAAGCATGTGTAACTCTCTTCTCCAATATTCTAAGATGTTACGCATCTTGCATAATTTCTAGGAGATTACCATTAATGATTTAGCATTGCTACATGAAATTTTTCAGTTCTTCAGTCTGAATATAAGCACATAAGACAAAGCTGATTTAATTTCAGTTCGCATCCTTTCCTTGCTCTATTTTCTGTTCTTTCTCAATGTAGTTAACACTGTTGACCATTCTACCATAATTAAGTTATTTTGTGAAGATTAAGATAACAAAAACTTGATGTATTTGTGTCTTCTTTATTCATGGAGCTACACTTTCTTTGCATTTTGTTTCCCTTTTTGTCCTAGTACTTTTACAGAGTACACGACTTTTTCTTAATACGTAAGAAGTTCTAGATGCAAAATGAATATGGCCATTTTTAATTACTAATTACATTTTATTGCTGCTAGCATGATACAGGCTAGATCACATGGACCAAATTATTCATCCCATCACAAATATTCACACCATTTTTTGTAGAAAATGTAAGTCAATTTTATGACAATAGGACAATTGGCTTTTCATTACTCCCAAAAACCTTGCTGACATTGTAAATTTTTAGTTTAGTTAATTTAATACTTCCTACTCTGGATGAAAATAAAGTACAGACTTTTCATGCATTCCCTTACTAATTAGTGAAGATTAATTTCATAATTCCATATTAGGAAGATGTTTTTACATTTAAAGTTTCATTTTAAATTTGTGTGTCACTAAATGTGCTTTTAAAAAGTCTATTTTCTGTGTAGTTGTGATGGGTTGACCCTGGCTGGATGCCAGGTGTCCACCAAAGCCACTCTCTTGCTCCCACTCTTCAGTGGACAGGGGGGAGAAAATATTACAAAAGGCTCGTGGGTTGAGATAAGGGCAGGGAGATCACTCACCAATTACCATCATGGGCATAACAGACTCGACTTGGGGAAATTACCTTAATTTGTTACCAGAGTAAGATAATGAGAAATAAAAACCTAAATCTTAAAACACCTTCCCCCTCCTTCTTTCTGAGCTCTACTTCACTCACGATTTCTCTACCTCCTCCCCACCAGTGGTGCAGGGGAATGGGGGTTGTGGTCAGTTCATCACACATTGTCTCTGCCCCTCCTTCCTCCTCAGGGGGAGGACTCCTCACACTCTTCCCCTGCTCCAGTGTGGGGTCCCTCCCATGGCAGACAGTCCTCCATGAACTTCTCCAACGTGAGTCCTTCCCACAGGGCTGCAGTTCTTCACAAACTGCTCCAGCGTGGATCCCCCACAGGGTCACAGGTCCTGCCAGCAAACCTGTTCCAGCATGGGCTCCTCTCTCCACGGGTCCACAGTTCCTGCCAGGAGCCTGATCCAGCACAGGCTTCCCACAGGGTCACAGCCTCCTTCAGGCATCCACCGGCTCCGGTGTGGGGTCCTCCACAGGCTGCAGGTGGATATCTGCTCCACCGGTAACCTCTATGGGCTGCAGGGGGGCAGCCCGCCTCCCCC